ATTTACCATTCGACTGCGTATTCGACAGTGATGAACCTTTTCGTCGTGCCTGCAATGCACCAAAAATTTGCCCCATAGTTTCAATATTTAAAACGCATATCATGCTGATCGTAAAATTTTTAAGCAAGCATTTCCAGTTTTTGGCGATTTTTGTAGCAAAATATGCAATACTTGTCCAAAAGTCACCCCTTTCTCTCCCTCCCCTCCTTCCTCTCCTCCTCCTTCCCACGCCAGTATTCATTCTTTGCTAAAGATGGAGGTACTCGAAAATAATGCATGTGTCGCCCGCTACCAGAGCTTCCTCTTTCGGAGGAGTGCGCAAAAGCATGCTAATAGCGGCTTTGACATTTTGGCATTCTCCTAAACAAATTTGATTGGGATGAATGAACAAATCGCAGAGCGAGTGGCTGTCCCACTGATGCAGTCGAAACTTGGCCTCCGGCAGCATCATGATCAATTCATATAAGCCTTTCTGTAGTATATAAAAAATCAAAAGCCAAGGAATTTGGCTTCATGATTCTAATTTATTTAAGATATGAAGGTATGCGAAAATGGCCCATAACAATCACTGACTTTTACGAAAATTACAGACAACATAATATGTGCCATTAGCAACTACTAACAAAACAAATCACGAGACTTCCTGCAGCTAATTTTGCCTCTCGAACTGTCGTTTCGAGTCTTGCAATAAGCACAAGAAAGGCTTGCTAGAGGATGCAAAAAAAAAAAATTCTTACAAAAAGGACAGTGAGTAGTCGCCGATGAAAATGGTCGAATCGCGAACCAAGAAGAGCCCGTTGCCCTTGTCCTTATGTTCCAGCAAACGCATCTTTGCCAATTCACGATCTGTTCTGCTGTGAAACCATTCTTCGGTGATATGCATCTCCTCCGGGCGAATACCGAAGCCCATCAGCTTCGTTAAATCATCCTAAAGTGATCTTGGTCCGTCTGGGGGAATATGCTAACAGAAAAAATGAAGAGAAAATTAGAGGCTAACATGACGTGAACAGTAAGAGGGACGGCGCTCACAGGACTCGGTGAAACGATGAATCGAAGCTACCTGAGTTTCATCGTCGATTGTGCTGCCTCCCGAATCTTTACGTTCCAGAGCTTCTTGGGCATAGGTACCGTTTTCGTATTGTTCCAACATGTAACACAGTCGGTCGGGAAATAGAATAAATAAATGAGTTGTCCAAACCTTAACACTAATCTATAATGCTACTCTTCTGATAAAAGTGTGGTTAGGAAAGAGGAAAAAGACGGAGTCAAAGCTGAAGAAACATCTTTTCATAATCCTTATTCCGAAACCATTTCAATTATTCCATTCTTATTCAAAATCTAGGAAGGACAATGCAGTGATATGCAACACTACTTTCGCCAAAGGTTGGGGATTCGATTGCGCCAGTGGGACAACCGATCCATTTAGAATTCTTTTATTCGTTTTGATGGTAAACTATCACTGCGGCATGCCGGAAATCAAATTAATCGTCTGCTTGCTTCCATGAATGAAGGCTAACGTGCTTCAGAGTGGCGCCCCTTTCGCAGAGAGTGAATACGGTGGGTGTTCTGACATTTATTTGCATCGCCAAAATCCCCAAAAAAGACTTCAGAAAACACAGTACCTAAAAAGCTTGTTCTGAGAAAAAACCCTTTATGATCAGCTGCCGGCACACCTCTTTTTGCAGGTAAAGGACGCGAAAGAGGGGTGCAGGACGGTAATTTGTAGGCGATGGGACCACGAGAAGAAACAAATGTTCAGAACACAAGCTAGCAATGCAGCGGCGGCCTCAGCAAATATGCAATAGCTAGTTACGTCGGTGAACATGCAACGATGGAATGACAGTGGGCCAAACTACGGGAATAACCACTGTAGTAACTAACATTAGTTATGGCGTTCTTCAACGAGAGAATCCCTCGTTTGGTGTAATTCATCGAAAACAGATCTTGTTCTTGTTCTGGAAAGCAAAACAATAAGATGTGGCTGTCGAACTGATCCCCGATTTTTTTCGCGTCGGCAAACTCACAATTCCACCCAAATCACTTCCTCTGAGAGGGCGGGTATTAAGAAAAAATCCAAGTGGAAAAATACGCAAGAAAATGAAAACGAAAAACCCCCAAAAAGCATCAATCTTTTTTTCAGCGGTTTTAGAAAACGAAATTTCCATTATTCATCATCTTCCCTAAAAGTGGATCAAGACAGAGCACAGCGTCAAGAGCAAACATTTGCTAGTAAAGCTGCTAATGGCCTTATATTTCGTCGGTTGCCTGGGAGCAAGCAGGAGATACGAATCCTTAACACCAATTAACACTTTCAACGACACGCATATTCAAATGAAGGGCCCGGTCACAGTAGGCGCCAGTTATCCACTAATTAAGAGCCGTAAAAAGTGATTCAGTGAAGTCTGCATCATTAAAAACTCGAGATATTTTAAGGCCAATGCGACCCCAGAGCAAACTCGTATAAAGTATTCAAACTGAAAAGTTAACTGCAGTTACGGGAACAGTAACCTTCATCAATTTGCTGCGGTACGATATCTTCGCTTTCTGTTGGGAGCTTCTTATGTTTCAGGATGATTTTTCGTTTCAAGGCTTCCGGCGAGGGCAAACACGTCTCTTCATGACTTACTGGCGCTGTTAGCAAATGATCACCCAAAATTTCTTTGACATCGCGAGCAAGCAATCGCTGTGCCGGTACCGAACAATTATCTTCGATCGATAAAATCACTGGAAACCTGAATTTACTCACTAACGAGCAGGTGGGAAAACGAAATTTCTTTCTAAATATCGTTTCCGGGGGATACAGCAACGATAAATGCGAGCATTAAAAACAGAGGTAAGAAAGAAAGAGTGCTGAAACTAATAAATGGGAAGATTTCGACGATGGTGGTGCAGTACTGGTATTTTTCTGTCGATATGCGATAAGTCAACATCTCTTCGACAGTTCAGTCTCAGTGAAGCTGAAATGTTTGGAAGTAGCCTGGGTGGTCGCACATGGCGGAAACAACTCCTCGCCGCCGGCACGACTTTCGATAACTTCCTCTTCCAGTGGCTGCGTGGAATCAAACTTTGACTACCTGGCCTACGCTAGTACCGATTTACCGTCGAAACGAATGAACGAATTCTTAAACAGACAGGTTGTGCCAGTGACGGAGTCGAATATTCAAAGCACTGTCCCGCCATTTATCATTGCGCCTTGCCCATTAGCTTGGATTTATCACAACTGTCGAAACTAATACATGTGAAGAAGCCGACAACGCTAGGGTAGTAATGGCACATTTATAAATACTGTGCTGTTTAGGGATGCTCGGAGCGATGGAACAGAAAAAGAGCAAATAAATTATAGCGCAAAAAAACAAAAAGTTATAGGGAAAATCTGAATGAAGGAGCTTCAAAAATTCAACAAATTGATCATAAATCACTAAGAAATGATGGTGGAATCTGAAGCACGATTCCCATTGGAATTGTTTAAGATGGTGTTTTGAATCATCAGCAATAAAGCTTACTCGCTATTGATGAAGGAGTAGTGACGAATAGTGTAAAGTACATCGCGCAGACTGATCTTACTCGTCATCGTATGCCCGTGATAGATTACAATTTCTTTCACTTCACCACAGTTTCGTTTCGGACCATCCCAACAATCCACTGCAAAACAAAAAACATTCGGAAAGCGAAGGAAAAATTCTTCTGCAGGGAATTTAATAAATCTCGAAATTTAGCAAAAATTTAAAGACTTATTATAAAATGACGTCACAGCGACCAATAAAATGGCGATCAGACAATGCAACATTGGTTAAATCAACCAGCAAAGTTGCAGATGCATAATTGGAGAAGTAGATCAAGAATTACGATTGATCCAAATAAATCTACTTTCTGAGCATTTAGAACTTAAATATTTAATAAAATAATTGCAATTTAAATATTTAACGGGCACAAAAAAGTATATGAAAAAAAAACACATGAAAAAATTTCGTTGCCTTAGTGCTTTTTTTCAACGAAATCTTTCGTTATACGAACGCATGTGATCTCATTCCTCTAGTAGCATTTCGAGGGGAAGACAGCAGACTTTTTACGAAGCTGTATAAGCTTTACTAGTGGCTTTGTCAACGCTTTTGGGGTGTAGCCTTCTTAAGCCAGAAGTATTTCACTTTTTATTCCTCGCCATTCGTCTGATATCCTACTATCTTACATATCCGTCTGATATCCTACTCCCTATATTCATTTGATATCCTACTATAGCAAAGACGTTACATTCGATACATCTGCAGCCCATCAGCAGCGCGCGTGCATACGCATCCAGTGAAGAGTCACTTTTCAGCTGATCGCCAGTTAGATATCTGAAAAAAAAAAGCACTGCGTTGCAAAAAGAAACGAAAAACTTTCATTTTTTAGATATTTCAGAGAGACTCCACCGCCAGTGAAATGCTGTAAATACTTGTATCCGTGGACGGTATAGCTGATGATAGAAAATCAACAAATGCTTTAGGATAAAATAAGCTTGTGATCAGTCCGAAAAAAAAACAGCAGCAAATCCATGGAAGAATAATTGGCCAACGCACGGGCTGCCTGTGCGAAGATGCGTTTTTTGCATAGTTCCCCGCAGTTTTTATTGCTACCGGCACCGGTTTTTTCGGCAAATGCTTCTAGCTAAACAAATAAAGACTGGACGCCAGAACTGTCGGGAAACATACCCCTAAAATTTCAACTTTCTAGCTTCCCTGGCCCCCAAAATCTCAGCCTTCTAGCTTCTCAGACCCCCGAGTTATGCACTTGCCCGAAAAAAATTTTGGCGGGCTCGTACGGGGGAAACCATGCTTACCCGGGGGCTGGGTTTGAGCCCACTAATACCCGCTTGGGCGGGGAACATTACCCC